TGAGCAATGGAGCTTTGCTACTATTTCTTATTTCCCCAATTTGTGTCCTGCTGTTCATTACCCATCTGCCACGTCACGTTTCAGAGCCATAGGTCCTGAAAGACTGGAGCTGGCTTTTTTTCTCCAAACCAGCTTTAGAGGCTACAGAAATTACAGACAGACAACACAGTGATGTGCTGCATTTTGGTTCACTGGCTCATACTGATGATTCAGAGAGTGCCTCTGGTGGGATTGTACAAAATCAAGATGTAGTCTTACGGAATACAAACCTTACTTTAATTTTTTGCTGAATTTGATGCTCTTTGTCATGGGAACTTTGAACAATTTCCTTTTGTTTAAATATTATCAGTGTCTTTAAAGTGTTTGCAGGCTTTTTTTCTATCCCAAATCCAAGGAGAGGTACGTGGAAAATGAAATTATTGAGAAACATTTGTGGAGAGCTTATGGTCAAGTAAACTTCAGTTGAGGAGAAGCTGAGGCTTGTGTAGCACAGCTCGGCTGAAGAAAACCTGACAGTTGAGTAACACTTTGGGGTTTTTTGTTGTTTTTTTCCTTGACTGGCAATTCCTTGATGTTAGTAGGATATCCAAGACCACATAAATATTTAATTACAAAGGCCCTATGTGCGTGTGTATGCGTTTTGTGTCTAAAAATAGTTTTCTTTGAACAGGATTCAGTTTTGACTTTGCTTGCTTTACTTTCAACAAGGATCAGAATTCCAGGTGGAAAAACTAAAGTCCTTTTATTGGCCAGCTGGAATTCCCCTGGCTTGGCACTGCTCCTTTTCAACTCTTCCCTAACATGTACTTCCATTTAGTCAGCAGCAATATATGTAAATTAGTTCTGGGCAGTGAGGAATAAAGAGCAGATGGTTTAGAAAATGCTTTTAAAATGAGTATTTTTTTCTTTAAATGTAATTTTGAGCTCTGCCTGATTTTTCCAACTTATTTTACTAATTATTTCCACTCACCCTTCCTTAAGTCTAAGTTTAACAGAAAAATTGTGGAGTTAATGTTTTTTAAACCTGGTATGTAATACACCAGGTTTTCTTCCATAAGAATCCTTTTGTCTTTCTAATGGAAGAATTAACAGAAGAACATGGCATTGAATAAGATTGTAAAATCACATTCTATATTACAAATGTAATGTTTCCATCACATAAACAGAACAAAGCCTCTTCTACTAATCAAGACTGCCAGCACACAATTATGCAGTGACTTTTCATTCTGAACAGCTCAGACCAGTGACAAGCTTTTGAGGAAAACAAGCATACATCAGCCTGTCTATATGTTGTGCTTGCTTTGAGCTGGTCATGCTACCATGACAAGTAGGTACCCATGACAAGGGGATACCTACGTCTTTGAGAGAGTACAAAGCGTATGACAAGTGCCAAACTGCTGCCTCTAGAAACAGGAGCAATAAAAGTAAAAGCTCATGGAAGCTTTTCTATCCCTGGGAAGTGTTGAGATCTGGTGATGTCTCTGAGGGTGATTCCAGCGTGTTAGCCAGTGTGGACAGCTGCCCATGAGTCATTCCATGGATACCTTCCACTTGTTGTGCTGACATCATCAGAGCAGTCAGTAGATGGTAATTCATTCACTACCCACAGAGATAAAGTTTAGGATTAAAGGATCATTGCTGAGTTCTGAAGGGAAGCGTCTCTAATGACACAGGTCTGCTAACCAAGCATTAAAAAAAGCCAGCATGAAAGCAGTTAATCTGTGACAAGTGATACACGCCTGGTCTGCTCTTAAGTTTTCAAAAGGTGTCTGGAACTTAAAAGTTGTAACCATGGCAGAAATAATAGAACGACTGAGAAGGTGACTGATACTCCAGCTGTAATGTACGGCACGTACAAGCTAAACGTCTCCCAGTTTTAAAGTAGTATGTGACGCACTTGGATCAGACTCATTAGGGCAGGATGATTAAGTGTTAAGGTACTTCTAAAACTGGCACCTGGTGTGATTGCTGGACTACTTCAGGTTCATAAATTCTGCATTAGCAGACAGAGTATTTCAGGTGTAGCTAACCAGCACAAAGAAAGGGTTTCTTGTTGGCATCTGCCTTCAGTATGTTTTGTTCCTATTGCTGATTGTTTGTCAACACAAATGTCTCCAATAAATTTTGGGTTTACTTATGTTACAGGGATAAGGCAGTTTGGAAAGATGACAAGAAGTTGTCATATGGGGTCTGGAGTTGGGGAAAGGCTGACAATATTCAGTGCTGATCAGTTACAGTGGTGTCAGAGACTTACTCAAATCCCTGATCTAGTTCTGCCAGCCACCTCGCTGATCTTCAGCAGCGTGAGTGCTAATGCAGGGTATGTGCACAGATGCGTGTAGTCACGGAGGTGTTCAGGAGCAGAGCTTCAGCAGGCTCTACAGCTAAAATAGCACCTAGCAGTTCTGAAGGAACTAGGTATAGCTGAAATGGCACTATCAGTAACAATATTTTAGCTTACATGAGGTAGGTAGGTGAAAGTAACGTATTTGTGCCAGTGTAATTTTATTGTATAATGGAATTAGCCAGCTAAGCTCGCAATGATTACTGCAGTGCTCTGCATTCACTAAAACTGAGCTGCTTTGTTCACCTGGGGCTTGTGTGCCTCCCCGTGTGCCTTTCTGCTTCCGCTGTGTTCACGGGAAGGTTTTGTATCTTGGCTTTTTATCACTATTCACATTTGTCACAATTCACCCGTCTTGTTTCAGGTGATTATCTCAGCAGGTGAGCTGAGATGTGGTTTACACATGCACTGTATGATGTTTGTTTCTGTACTTCTTAAAGTATGTTAAATTAGGGGTGTTCTCTCTTCTAGTAATGCCAGTGCAGCAGATTTCCAGTGAGCAGGAATAAGTTGTATATATGCTGCTATCAAGTTGTGCAAAAAACCCCACAACTTTCTGAAAGCTGTCAATTCTTACAAGTGGGAAATGTTTTGCATAGTAAGATTGTTGCATAAATGATGAAAAACCCCAAGTGCAATATCCATGTGCACAGTTGTTGGTTAATAATGCTTGTACTTTTAAGTAGTGTGTTCAAATAGATGGGTTATATGATGCAGGTAGAGCACACCTTGGGGAAATGAGAAAGTTGCGTGTAAGCAAACTTGTGGTGGTGGATTCAAAGAGTTTTGGGGTTTCTGGAGGTAAACCATTTTTAGTAAAAGGGGGGGTGAAATACTGGAAGTGTGTATGTGTGCACTTATTAAACTGCTTATAAGTGCAGAGATACCATCTCTGGCTCAAAACACCTAAGCTATAAACAGCTGGATTCCTGGAGAGTATTCCAGGGAACTGCCCCTGGATATTTACCGTGTTCTGATTCTTTTATTCTGCGAACTGCTGTTGGTTATTAGTGAATATTGGGCTCTGTGGACTTTGGGTTTGAGCTGTCCCTGTGTTCAGAGTATCCTCCCTTTACTACTTCTCTCATGTCTATGGCAACTTTATTTGGGGTTGCCTAGAATTACTCCTAAGTAATGGCTATTGTAGGCCTGCTGTTAATTAGCTATATAGTGAATTTGTCTTCGTAATGAAAATTGTACATTTCTGACCTATTTTGTAATATCAAAATACCTAAGCTTGGAGAAGGGCTTCTAATCTAAATGCCAGTACTATGTTCTTTTTTGTACTTGTAGCCTATCTGGGAAAAAGCCTGCCTTCCCCTCACCCCAGGAAAATACAGGTTCTGTTTTAACTCTTCAGTGAATGGTATTCATTCATGATGGGAAGCTATTTCTGGTTATACATATGATGAGTTCCTTTAGCTAAACCTTACATTTTTTTTGCTTACATGTTTCTGTTTGGTCTGCTTTGATAAAGTTATACTACTCTTTATAAAGTACAGTGGTATCTGATGCAGAGACTTCAGCAATACTCTAAACACCATGGCCATGGCTGCAATGATCTCAGCTAATGGCAACCACCGGCTGTTTGCCAAGTAAAACAAATAAGAATGATCTGATTGTTAACTGAAATGATGAGACACAGGAAGAACTTTACAGTACTTTAGTAAGTCTCTTCTCTTAAATGGCTTTTTACTCGTCCAAAAGCTCAGTTATAGAGCAGTGGTTTTGTTGGAGATGAGCACGTTTGTATTCATACATGTCACATTCCAAACCTGACGAGAATACAAAATTAGGTGATACCATACTCGCTTTAACCTTCCCTTTTCCAATTTAACTGGTTCTTAACCGAACTTAGGCAAGTAGGTTGTTACAGATGTTCTTACTCGTGGTACTGCTCGCTGTCTGTTAACAGCTTTCTTTCCCAAAGTGTGCTGGCATGTGCACAGGTAGTTCCTCTCTGTGCTGATTTTACCCTGTTAGGTGTGTGTTTGTCTGTAGAGTGGTGCGTGAGCCCAAGGATGAGCTTAGCTGTGTGCAAGCTTCCCTGTTACTAATAGTTACATCTGCTTTGCAGAACATCCGCAAGTCCTGTAGCTTTACAGCTCTGTAGAGCCCTTGGATGTTTTTACCTTTATATATTCACCTTTGCCAGTGAGCATGAATGTTATTCTTTTGGGGAGAATGTTCTGCTTGTTTGGATTTTTTTCCACTGAGTAATTAAGTTCTACAGTTTGATTCCTGTATTATGTGTTTGATTATCACAGGCTGTAGAATTTCCCCTTCTACTTTGTGGTGTATACTTTAATCCTTTTTGAAAGGAATTTCCTAAATTACCAGTAAAAGAGCTGTTGTTTTTGTAACTTTTTCCAAAACCTTTAGGCTGCTTCATTAGTGAGATTGTCACAGTAGCAAAATGAGCTCAGGAAGGAATAACCCCTAGAACACCACCAGCCGGCAGCTGAACCAAATGTCTAAGGAGAAAGCTGGGGATGTTGGTCAGTGTGTTACGCTGACAGCTGGAGTATCAAACTGGTCATCACTTCATCAGGATTTTTTTTTTTGTCCTTTACACTTTTTAGTTGATTCATTTGATCCTTGAACTTTAATTAAAAAAAAAAAAAAATCCTTTGAAATTGTGTTTTGTCTTCAACAGTGCCCTTAAAGATAGTCGTTTCCCCCCCATGACGAGGGATGAGCTGCCACGGCTTTTCTGCTCAGTGTCTCTACTCACTAACTTTGAAGATGTATGTGACTACATGGACTGGGAGGTAAGGATGTCAGATATCTTTTAAGAAAATGACTTGCATACCATGAACACCTATAGCAGAAGTCACACCATTGACATTAGCTGCATATATTTAGTGTAGTTGTCATTACATACTTCGCACTCTCTACACATTATTTTGTGCATTGATTGAAAAGATCCTTTTTGATAGAACTGTCACCTTAAAAGTCTGTGCCATGAAAGTGGAACCAAGTTCTGTTCTTGCTCACTTAGGTACTGAGAATAAGAGTGGTCTGCACAGCTGTATTTATGTCTGATGCTCCATCAAGCAAGGCATCATCCAAGTGGTGGTGTCCCAAGACCTCTCTTGCAGCACAGTTAACTACATGAATGTGGTAGATCAGTCCATTGATTCTGGAAAGAGGATGTTCCAGGATGAAAGTTCAGAGGCTGGTGCATGCTTCTGGAAACAAGCACTGCAAAAACCTGCAGTCCCAAAACAAGCTGCCTTATTTAGCTTGTAGGACTGAGCCATTTATCTTTCCCAAAACATTCTTTGCATTCAGAGCAGGTGGCCTGCACAGACCCCACAGGCCCCCCTGTACAGTGAGGCCAAGTAAATCGTTGCTCTTGTTTTCCCTTGCATGGAGCTGAATCCATTTTAATTGTTAGGTTCTAGGAAACCTGCAGGTGTTGTTTTGGAACAGCAGTGTAAGGGAGATTAAGAAGCAAAGGCTGCTTTTAGAATGATTTCTGGGAAGGTGTACTGAAGGAAATGTTATTCTCTGTTCTTTTGTCAAATTATTTGGTATTAGACGCTTGCAAAAAACAAGTTACTGAACTTCATATGAATTTTTCATCGCAGTCAGTACAACTTGTATTGCTCTTGAGTCTGTAGTTGAGCGAACATGAAAAATAGATTGAAATTGTCATATATGATGGTGGACATGCTGTAATGGCAGAGACACCACACGAGTTACAGCTTTTCCCTTCAGTGATGATTTAGCCCTACTAAATACTTAGGATATTTTAAGAGAAAAAGAAGTTTCTATTGTATTCCCACATAAGAAGTGGATATTGAGTATAATTGCATTTGTTGTTAAAATGGTAAGAGGCCCCACTGTATCAGTGTCTATCCAGCAGTAACCCCAGCATTATGATTTTACAGTAGCTGAAAATCTAACAAAAAAGTGTTTCCTGTTCACCTCATAATGGCAAGGGCTCCTTACCTTCTGGTATGTAATTTTGAAGGAGATGAATGCAAGTTTCCTTTGGGGTTTATCAGTATTTTCACCATAACCAGAATTATTCATTTTTTGTGTAATGTCAGACAGAAATAAATCTTTGCTAGAACTGCCTGTGCATTCCCAACCAGGAGCTTTGTTCAGAGAAGGAACTTGTCTTGTCACTGAGCTGTTAAGAGTACTTCAAACAATGTTTTCAGGTAATCAAAACCGGAGTGACTTTTAATACTAAACCAAACTAGAAGTCAAAACTAAAACTAGTAGAATTTTTCTGCTTTATTAGGTTGACTTCTGGTGGTAACCATTGTGATGTTTTCAATTTCATTGCATTTATTATAGTTCATTGAAAGTCAGACTGTGAATACATTCAGAAAATGTCTCTATGTGAGGTGCATAATGAAATAGCATTTAGCTCTTTCCATGTGGTAGTCTATCAATATTATTAGATGTTGGTTTATTCTCTCAATAATGAACTTCTAAGATGACCAAACTATTCCTCGTTAAAGGGAAGCTGAAGCCAAAGCCTGAGTTCAAACCTGCACTCTACCTTAGAAAGACTATTTTTGATTTTGTTCTTTGGGAGACTTCTGATTCACGACTCTTAATACCTGTGTGAAACAAGGGAGGGGTTTACTTCCTATGTCCTTTCTGTATCTTGTTGCAGAGTCCTTGAGACTTTAACAACTGTTAATAAGCTCAGTGCAGAACTGTAGTCTTTCTCAGTTCTGATTTTGTGGATTCTTGTGATCTTACTGGAAAGCCCTGGCTTATGAAGGAAGAATGGAGGGGTCAGAAATACAGTAGTCTTTGTGTTACCATTTGCTTAATTGCTCTCTCCTATGTTGTTTAAGGTTTTTTAATGATTGTATCATATATAGCTGTGGATGATCCAAGAGCTTCCCATGTAAAAGGGCTGGGGAGGGTGTGTGTATAAATATGAGGAAGATAAAATTTGTAATTGTTAGTCGTTAAAGGAACGACTCATCGCTGTTTGTGCTCCTGTCAGTGTATAGCTTATGTCATCTGTGTTTCCTTTAAAGGAGCTGCAGTTATGCAGTATCAATGGCAAAAGGACGTTTCAGGATGTCCATGGAGTATGATGTCCAGAGAGATTCTGTGTCTTTCATCTTGTATAAAGCTCAGGAGTATCTCCTGTATCCCAAAGCAGTGTATAGATATTCTTTTCTCTAATTAATGAATTATCTTCCCAAATGAAAACAATATGTCAGTTGTCAAAAGCCATGTGAGATCCTTTTGCAGCAGAAACTTCAGCCAGGTGAGATAGGAATAGACTGCTCTTAGCTCCCATGTGATTTATCAAGTTGCATATTTTCACCTTTTATTAAAGTACCTAGGAGAAAGTGCACACCTTTAGAGGACTAATTCCATGCCATGGTTCATGAGGGTGCTTCCTAAAATATCACTTGGCATTCTTACTTCCATGGGTCTTCATGTGAATTGCAGTGCGCTGTAGTAGTTGAACAGATGTAGGGCTTTGAAACGAACACTGGGAGTTACGAACTGATGGCTCCAGTATTGCTGTTCATTCCTAATGCAGATACACTTGCATCTCATGTTGCACTTGGAACTGCGTTGGTAGTTAGCAGCACCGCGAAAGAAGGAATGTAGAAGAGCTCAAATAGATGGCTGTGAAGTACCATGGCTTTGGGTCCTTTAGAAAGATCTTCTGTTTGGTTTGTGGAGCTTGTAAGCCTGCCATTAGGGTCAATAAGGCTACACTTAGAATGTCCTGTGAATGGATTTAGATCCCGCAAATGGTGTAGATAAGGTATGATCATGTTGTAGGTCTTGCGATTCCAGCTTTGGTGCTGCAGGCTCTGCCTCCTTGAGAGAGTGTTCTCAAAATACAGAAGAGAAAAGCAAAGTGCCTCTACTTGTTCCCTCTCTATTTCACCTTATAGCAACTGAACACCTTTTTAATTGACTTTCTCATTAATTTAATGAAGAATCTGTGGGGTTTTTGCTAGAAGGTAAAGCCTGTCTTGCAAAATCTGATTCTTTCCCCATTTTTTAATTAAAACATCATGAACATTGTAATTGTATGTAATTATAATTAGGAACTTTTTGGAAAACATGATTGTAATTCCACCAGGGTAATAAATAACTAGAATTGACGAGCAGCTCTTCCTTAAAATACCTTGAAAAGGATCTTTGCCCTGAAGTTGCTGTTCTTTAGTAAAGTCAAATCTGCAGAATTGCTTGCTGTGTTGATACAAAAGGCCTTTAGCCTTTGTGCTCTGGTTTAAATATTAGCCTAAACAGTTATAGAGAACTGAGTTGTTGACTAAAAGGTGGCTTTTCATTGTTATGAAGTTAGGACATTTAATGGTTGTGGAAATTCTTTCCTCCTTAAAAGTGCAGGGGCACCAGCAACTCCTGCATCTTGTATTCTTTAGAGAAGAAAGACTCTTGATCCCAATATTTTATTCTCTTTGGATGATAATCAGTGATTTCATCTATGTAAATAGGTGATTCGTTTAAAAAAGAATGCCTGCCATCAAGTGGAGAGCATACCTCCTGAGTAGTTGTTAGCCTCCTTTGTTAAATCAGCATGTCGTATTTCAGCCCTACTAAGGATGATCAGAAAGAAGCCAGAATATTTGATACAAATGTGGGGCTAAAAAGCTGTAGAATTCACCTAATAAAAAGTTGGGTCAGCTTCTAATAAGTAGCAATAGTCCCTTACTCTGAAGTGAGTCTTGTCTCCAGACAAGTTTGTATGCAGCTATTTCCACAGTACTAGTTAGGTGAAAGGAAAAGACTGTGTGATATGGAATCATAAGGAATACCATACAAGTTACAGAATCTCAGACTGGTTTGTGTTGGAAGAGACCTTAAAGCTCCTCCAGTTCCAACCCCTGCCACGAGCAGGGACACCTTCCACTAGAGCAGGTTGCTCCAAGCCCCTGTGTCCCACCTGGCCTTGAACACTGCCAGGGATGGGGCAGCCACAGCTTCTCTGGGCACCCTGTGCCAGCGCCTCAGCACCCTCCCAGGGAAGAGCTTCTGCCTCAGAGCTCATCTCAGTCTCCCCTCTGTCAGTTTAAAGCCATTCCCCTTGTCCTTTTGTTTGGAAATGTTCATAGCTTGCTGCTGTTCAAAGACTGAGCTGACAAACCGTAAGTCCGTAGGAGGATGAGCCATAACCCAGAACAGCCTGACCTGGTTCATCCTGTAGTTAGGTGAATGCTTGTACTGGTGGAACTGGGAGGCAGGCACACAGAGTTCATTGCTGTTTAACTGGTGTGCTGGCAGTAAGGGCTGTACTGCAGCTAATACCTTCCAAACATGTACGTGGCCCTTACCTTCCACCTTTGAGACGAGTATTGTGGGAAATTTCACAAGGCTTTTCATCAATACAGGAAAGCATTGGTCCCTTCAGGAAGTCAAATTCCTAACTGTGCGATGCCAGTCTTAGTGTGGATCATTCTTATGTTGCTTGTGTGTGGCTTTCCATTTATTTAGCTCAGGCCTGGTTTTGATTAACTGAATTAAACAATGGAAAGCCATTTGTACTGGACTGAGAGTACTGCGTAGCTACACAGTTGGAATTCCTGCTTCACAGAATGCTATGAAATCTTCCCAACCAGAGGAATTGTGGGTGCAGTTGTGTTGCCTTATTAATTTTGCTCTAGATCTTTTTCTTCTACAGACTTGGGCCTAAAAGTCCATTAAAATGATTAATGGGAAAATTCCAATTCAATGCAATTGCTACTGCTTGAATGTTGGGTTATACTTCATACATCACTAGTGCTTCTGGTTAGTTTCTCATGAGTACTACACTATCACTACTATGCAAAGCAGTTGTGTGGAGTTTAGAATCTAACATTTTGCAGGTTTTGAAGGTGTGTAAAACCTGAAAATACTTGATGTTAGTGCTTAGGCAATTGCGTATAGACAGTTAAAAATCACCAGCTGCAAAAGCTTACTCTGTTCTTGGAATAAACTCAGTAGGCTTGTTTCAGCTTCTAACACTGCTTCACTTTACTTTCAGGCCCTTTGGGTTTCTAATTACATTATCCAGGTATACAGATCAGAGCTCTAGTGATTATATATCCACGTTATGAAAGTTAGGTTTAGGAGTATTTGGTAAATAAATGGCACGTTAAAATTTACAGTGAATTAAATTCATTAGTTTCAAAGTAATTTTTCCTATTTGAGAAATACTAAGTTCATGGGGAGAAATTGTTGAGGCCGTGGCGAGCCGCAAGAGAGACTCTTCTTCCTGTTCCCCCACACTTGTGTCTTAGATGAAGATTAAAAAATAAACTCTTAATACAAGCACGTAAGTTAACAAGTGGTAGAGCTTTGTAAATACTCCTGATTTGTTTTCTATCAGGCACTTCCAGTAAAATAGGTTGTCAGTGGAAAAACTGTTCCAGCATACCAAATAAGAGCCATACCAAATAACCTGATACCCTTTGAAACATAAACTATTCATTTTCACATACAACATTGGGAACTTTGGATTTAAATGGAAATAACATCTTAATTATGTGGGCATGAAAATGTCTGTCTGCTAATGCTGTGTCTTTGTGCACAGAACTCAAAAGCAACTGAAACCTCATTGGCACTGGAATGTCTTTTATGGCTGCTGATCCAAGTGCTCTCAACAGAACTATCGTACCTGGAAAACTGGGTGCTTAAACAGTGCCCTGCAAAGATGCTGAGCCTCTTTTATTTTTCTTGGAAGTCCAACCTTATCTACATCTAACTCCTTGATATTAGTAATTTTGGTTTCCATACTGGCATTTTCTCATATTTTAAAGTATTGAATAGCAAAGGAAATAGGAATTTGAAGCTGAGTGCTTTAAAATGTGTCATACATTGGCAGAAACTTTGAAGACTCCAGGCTGCAGTTCGCAGTGTGACAAATCTTTCATTGTTCAGTTGTTACTTTGAACAAAATCGATTATTTTGAAAACTGAAGCATCTTCAGATTTGCCAGCACTGTGGTTTCCTGCAGATTTTATCTGGTGACCAGGAAATTTTATCAGCAACCGCATTGCTGATAGTCAGAGGGAGACAGACCGACTTCTGCATCTCAGCTGCTTTCCTTCAGACCAGAAATGAAGCTCTGTGGTGGGGAGCCAAGGAGCTTATTTGTGCCACTACCGAACTTACAAGGCTCTCAGGTGAACACCTCTCCAAAAGATGACATTTGCTTCAGCACCACATCCTGAAACTCCTCACAGAACGCTGTTAACCACTGAAAGGTTCACATTTTGGGTTTTATCATGATAGAAATCTCTTGTATCTTTTTTTCTTTCAGTGTACTAATAAAGCTGCCGATTTCTTGCAGGTGGGTGTACATGGCATTAGAATAGAATTCATCAATGAAAAAGGATCAAAACGCACCGCCACCTACTTACCGGAGGTTGCAAAGGAGCAAGGTCATTGTTGCACTTTATTTCATATGATCTGGTGAAGAATTTAAACATACATATAAATCTAAAATGCAATATTTGACCTTGCACTGATGTCAGATGATGGAGCAATATTTAATTGTAAGAAGACTCTTATATAAAATGCCAATTACATGCCTGTGTCAGTCCCCTTACAGGGATTCAGTAACCTGTAGCTGTTTTCAAACCAGTCAGAAATGCAGCGTAGCTGTAGGAAATAAAATATGGAGGGGTGGTACATGCTGTCAACCAACTTTACAGTTGGTAAGAGCTGCCAGTTTTCATAGTTGTTACACTGTGATATTGGTGACATGCAAATCTCTGTTAAATCATGGGATGTCGATTTATCGTATGGCTGACCTATTCCAAATTTGCAATGAAAAGTGTTGGGTCTTTTTATTCAGTTACAGGTATGTTCTGCTAGTTCTTCATTCCTTTTATGAACACTGGTTTCCCGGGTTTTCTGATGGATGGAAGGGAATTGCTTTCAGTAATGTTGTTAAAGTCCCTTTTAATAGAGGCACAGACTGAGTTTTGTGAATTAAGACCTGTAGCAGATTTTGTGGAATAGTAATCTTTTGGACTAAGCAGCTGACTATGACTACTATGGGTTTTTTTCTTCCAGGCTTGACAGCATCTCTCAATCTTGTACATTTTGCATTGTTGTTGGGTTTGGGGGTGGGTTTTTTTGCCTTTTAGTATTTGAATTGGTCTATTAAGGAATAGGATGAAACCTTTCCTGAGGATCATCTTTAACTGATAATTCTGTTTTCAAATAGTCACTTAGAAGTTTAGAGACTTTCCAAGCTTCTTTTAAAATTCAGGGATTGGGGGTGGTGGTGGTGTGTGTTTAAATTTCTAGATAGCTTTACTAGACCGTGCATTGCTATCTGACTCTTTACAGCACCCAGAACTACTCATTTGTATTATTTTATGTACCCCAAACTACCTTTATTTTAATGTAACAATGTGACTAATCTAATTGCATCTTTTGGAAATAACATGTCTAACAGCTACTTAAAATATTAGGCTCTTAAAAATCAGTAAATAGGGGTTATGAATCGCATGAAGAGTTTATTGAGAACAGTAATGACTGAGTTTTTAAACCACCACGTTTTTAATAACCCAGACACCTATAACACATTAGTTCTGAAACCAGGTGCATCACTGTAAATTGTTCTATTTATGAGTAAGTCTCACCTGAAATTCTCTGCACAAGTTCAGCTAATAATTCTTTTAAATTTTATACAGAAACTTAATTTTTGATGCTATCCTAGCTATTTATAATGTATAAAGTAATTGTGGTACCTGAACATTGCAAAAAGGTTTAATTTTATATCTTGCCCTAGTCTAAGATGCCTGGATATGGTGGGTCCACTGTTAAAATGTTTCAACTATGAGATAAAGATGTCTGTTGTTTGCAGAGCAGACTGTGTGTAAAGAAATCCTGTATGTCATATTTCCTTCAGCTGTTCCTGAGTAGGGAAGAACGTTCTGTGTTTGATACAGAACGGCAGCAGAGCACTTTCATTATCGATAACACTACGTACTGTCTGTATTTTTGCAACATCTTTCCTTATTGCTGTATTTCTTACTAATTTTTACTACTGTAAAATCCAACAGGATGGGACCACATTCAAACCATAGATTCCTTATTGAGGAAAGGAGGCTACAAAGCTCCAATTACTAATGAATTCAGGAAAACAATAAAGCTAACCAGGTATGCATCGGGGGATACCACAGATAAGTCCTGTTTTTGTAGTACGGTGATGTGTTTGTTGGTAAGTGCTCATTTCAGATGTTAATAGTAAGCTTTCCTGTGTATTTTATTAATGATTTCTTTCTTTTCACAATAGCAGTATGGACTTCCAAGAGTATCTGTGCCTTGCATAGGGATTAGTGGCACTAAGCAAGAAAGAAAAGGCTGTTGTTAAATATCAGGCCACACACACGTCAGGGTACCTGCATATTTTGTTCCCTAACTGTGAAAAATCTTACTAGTGCTTTAGCTCTTGCTTTGTCCAGTTTGGTCATTGGCTGTAATGGATGTTCACGGGCTGTTGTTGGGAACAAGGATTTTTTTGCATTGTCCATTTGTGTCTGAGCAGATGGTGGGCTATGGGTCTGCTGCTATGGGGTCATGGGTTCAAGTCTCAAAGCAAGTGTTGGGTCTTTTTTATCTCTGTGGAGTCTCAGAGATTTCCCACATCTTGGCAGGTGGTAGGTGTGCCAGCCACGTAGCTGATCTGGGAGCCAGGGTACTACTTAAGCTGTGTCAGTGTTCTCAAGAATTAAGACATTAATTTAATGTTTTACTTCATACTCTGCCACTCTTGCTCACGAGTATGGTTTGATCTTGCTAATTTAATAAATGTGTTCTTGAGGGCTTCTTAATGGCTGGGAGCCAGAATATTTAGAATTAGCAGCAGATATTCTGCCCCATAATATTGTAGTTACATGGTGAAGGGTAGAGGAGTAAATGTCTATAAGAACACCTCTAAAACTGTAGATTTTTATAAGTTTGTGATATAAAATGACTGCTAAACTCTGGTTATCTATTCCATGCTTAAAGAAATAAGAATTGGTGTAATCTTACATGATCAGGAAGTATTGACTGTTCATCCTCTTCAGGGAGGCCACACTTGACATACTAGTAATACAAATAACAAAGTTGGAATCCCTTGTCCCAGACTGGTACCCTTCCTATCTTTCACCAATTCCTAGGGGCTCACAGGGTCACAAGATTAGTTCTACAAATGTTGTATATATTAGTCTTGTTTCAGTGTCCTGGTTTCTTTGGGAAAGTCTTTCTTCCTTGTCCATATTTTAAATCCAATCCTTTAATTTCAAATGTTGCACAATACTTGGATTCTCCTGATTTATTTTGTACTTTTAGAGGACAAAGACCTCAGATTTTAGATCTTTTCAGCTTCCATCTTCATCCACAGATCTTGCTATCACTTAGCAGTAGTTAGTATTTATACCAGATAGAAGGTAAAGCATTTATTAGAATAGTGTTAGAGGGGTTACTTGTTCAGTGATCTTGTGGATGAAGAATAGACTTTTTGTCTCAATGACTGTTCAGAGTTCTGAATTCTTGTAGGAACCCCATTACGCTGAAGTAACTGTGTCTAAGGAAAACGTGTTATTCCAAAGGTTAAACTAGGGAGGAAGAATTTACAGAATCCAGCTAAATTTCCAAATGCAGAACCCCAATTTCCTTTTACTATTCAGCTGTACACCTACGTATCTTCTGTTCAAAATGAATATATGGAGATAGCTGAGGGCAAGAGTAACAGTGCTGTAGTTCTTAAGTTACAATCTCTGTGCATCTCGGTAAATAAGGAATATATTTTACCAGAAACAAAAGTTCTGTATAGCACACACATTCTTCCAGCTGCATGATTTTGTTTGGAGCAATGGGATGTGAGCACAGAGCAAAACAAGCAAAAAAACCCCCCAAACTCCACCACCACCCCCTGCCAAAAAACCCCAAAATATCAAAACCCCCATGTTGAGATATCTGTGTTCACAGCATCCAAACTTCCAGCAAAATCACTGGCCTGAAGAAGTGGAATAGAGCATAATTTTTAGTGTTAAGTATTTTTTTTCTTTGGCTGCCTCTTTTAGTTGCTTAAAAACTCAGCTTCTGCTGCTGACATATTCTGAGCAGTAGTATTAAAATAGTAACCATTTCCCAGCACCCGACAACCTTTTTTAGAGCCTCATGTTAACAACGTCTAGTCACACAGGAAAGCATGAAAGAGTGGAAAAAGTGCCTTTAACTTCCTTTTCAAATCTGTGAATTAAAGTAGATCTCCTGTGTGTGAATAAAGGTTTACGCTGATCAAAACTAGTCTATTTCTAACTACGTTCACTTCAAGTTCATACCCAGTAGTTCTGGCCATATAACTAAGTAATAGTGGAGCTGAGTGAAATGTACCAATTCTGGGCGTCTGAAATGCATAAGGACAGGAACTGCATTTTCTCTTCCGTCTGTTCACATGAGATGTGATTCCAGCCAGGCTGCCTTCGGCCTGTTTTGACCCATTTACAACTAACTTCAGTAACTGCTGAGCTTACAGTTGAGTTGCACAATGGTGGGGGTTCATTCACCAGGTTACTAGTCAGCTCCAGAAGAGCTGCAGCTGATCTCTCAGCAAGGACCAGCTTTGTTACATTAGTACATCAGTACCAAACACTGTTTATAGAGTAAATGTGGGCACCTTTGGTGCTCTGAAGCACAAAACTGCCTGTCTAAGGTGTTCTGGTATTCTGCTCTGCTCCTCTGGCAAAGAGGTGACAGAAGCAAATCTGTTTGCCACCTTCATCGCTGCAGGTGGTAGCTCCACAGTAGTTGTAACTTTTGTGTTGGGCTGTGAGTGCAAGTGGTTGAGCCATCTGTTGTTTTTTTCAGAGCTAAAATTGGAGAGAACAACCAGAGCAACTCCAGAAGAAAAATATGATAGAAAGGATAGGTGGCAGTATTTTAAATCACTGTAGCTGGATTCACCAAACCTCATCTGTCAGGAAATTCGTGGAAATGTGGAATAGTGTTTTTGTGTAGATTTTACACTTCTGCAGATAAGTGTAAATGTGGCGATATGTTCCTTGTTGTCAAACAATACTGATGCAAGTCTATCCAAAATACTTGTTGTTAGGGCCTGGATTCTGCTTTTAGTTACACAGAGCTGGCTGATGGTATTGCAGGACATCTCTCCATTATTTTTCAATGGTCTTGGGAGCCTGGAGAGGTCAGCTGGAAGCTGGCGAATGTCCCATTTTCAGGAAGGGTAAGAAGACCCTGGTAATTACAGGCCTGTCAGTCTCACTTCATTGCCTGCTAAAATTATGGAGAAGGTTATTTTGGGAGCTATTGAAAAGCACTTGAGAGACAATGCAGGCATTGATCAAGCCAGCACGGGTTCAGGAGGGAGGAGTCCTGCTTAACCGACATAATCTCCTTTTATGCCAAGGTCACCCGTCTAGTTAACCAAGGGAAGATGTGGAGGGTTTATTTTAGCAAAGCTTTTGATACTGTCTCACAGTATCCTTCTGGACAAAATGTCCAGCACACAACCACACAAGTCCATCATACAATGGGTGAGCAATTGGCTAATGGGTCAGGCTCAAAGAGTTGTAGTAAATGGGGTTACATCAGGCTGGTGACCAGTCACCAGTGGGGTTCCACAGGGCTCAGTTTTATGGCCAGTGCTCTTAAAGGACCTGGGTGTCAAGTGTACATTTGAGTTTGCCAGTGATACTAAACTGGGAGAAGCTGTGGACTCCTTGAGGGTGGAAAGGCCTTACAGAGAGATCTGGATAGACTAGAGAGCTGGGCGATCACCAACTGTATGAACTTCAACAAGAGCAAGTGCAGGATTCTCCACCTGGGATGGGGTAATCCTGGTTATATGTACAAACTGAGGATGAGAGGCTGGAGAGCAGCCCTGCAGAAAGAGATCTCTGGGTTTGGGTTGCTGGCAAGTTGAACAGGAGTCAGCAATGTGCCCTGGCAGCCCAAAGGGCCACCCCTGTCCTGGGGTGCACCAAGCACAGCATTGCTAGCCAGTTAAGGTGGGTGATTGTCCCACTTCACACTGCACTGGTACACTCCACCTTGAGTACTGAGTGCAATTTTGGGTACTTCAATGTAAGTACCCAAAGTGTAAGTGTAAGGACATCAGACTGTTACAGTGTGTGTCTAGAGGAGGACACCATGATGGTGAAAGGCCTCGAGGGGCAGTGGCTGAGGTCACCTGGTTTGTTCAGCCTGAAGAAGATGAGGGGTGACCTCATTGTGGTCTACAGCTTCCTCAGGTCTGGCAGAGGAGGGGAGGTGCTGATCTCTCTGGTGACCAGCGATAGGACATGAGGAAATGGAATGAGGCTGCATCAGGGGAAGTTCAGACTGGACATTAGGAAAAGGTTCTTCACTGAGAGGGTGGTTGGTCACTGGAACAGGGTCCCAGGGAAGCTGTCAGGGCACCAAGCCTCTCAAGAGGTCAACGAGGGTCTGGACGATGCTCTTGGTCATATAGTTTAGTGTTAGGTAGTCCTATGAGGAGCATCAGTGATCCTGATGGGTCTCTTCCAACTCGAGATAGATTGTATGATTCTAGTCTAAAAAGAATGTAACTATTTACTGTAGCTGGGATTATTTTAAAAGCAGGATTTGGCAGACAGTAGATACTGATTGTTTAAAAACAGCCCAAAAATCTGTAGCACTTGTTTACAGTTTTTCTCCCGGGTTTTATGTAGAGAGCTGGCTGAAGATACGGGACATGCTTAATAAATCATCGTGAGTTTCTATTCCCTCTACTTCGAGCAGCATTGTAGGCAACAATTTTTAACAGTTCTGTTCACTCAAAATGTTTTCCATAAGCACTTTGTCCTGTGATTCAGGAATGACTCTGACACCCATGGTGGGTCCCTCCCTGCCCTTGTGCAACTGCACTTAGTCTTATTCTTACCATCAGAGTTGTCAGCATTAAACATACCACTAGGACAGTATTTTTAGCACTACTTACAGCTTCCTGGTAACAGTTCTTGAATTTGCTTCTTTTCTAGGTACCGTAGTGAGAAGATGACGATGAGCTACACAGAGTACCTTGCCCATCGTCAGCATCATCACTTCCAAAATGGTATTGGGCACCCCCTTCCACCATACAACCATTATTCCTGACACTGAGCCGCATGACCAGTCACTGGACCTCTCTGCAGACCTCTTCCCAGGAGACCCTGCCCCTTCTTGGTCTAGCTATCTCTATTACTGTACCATTTTATGATGATAGTTTCCGTTGCCGTGTTGAGGCTTCTCAGTTGGTTAAGCCCATCATGGCAACGGGAGGGAAAACTGCATTACTACAAAGATCCCATACTTTTTTTATTACTGAGTCACTGCAGATTTTTTTGCAGCATATATAGCCCTTGGGTTTTTTATGAAATTTTAAATTTCTACTTCATTAACATTGAATTATATCAATCAAGGCTTTCTGTGACTGTGGATGGAAGGAAGAGCTTAAGGATTACAGTTAGGGATGCTTTGCTTAGCAAAAAGGCGTTCATGGCTTTTGCATTAGGAGGTGTGACAGGGAATGAAACATATCAGATTCAGGTATTCTACTAGACAATGAATTGCATTTTCATAACGTTCTTAATAATGTTTTGTGTACAGTAGTTCACCCCCACAGTAAAGAGTACATGTAGCTATATACATGATCTCCAGATCCAGCACATTCAGCCAAAATGTCAAGGCTGACATCCAAAATGCTTTTTTGGATGAAGAGAAGCAATTAGGTGTACAATAGAGGTGATGTTAAACATGGCAGCATTTTCCCAATCAAGGGGTTGAATTGATAGGGCACAACATAATCCAGTTGGCCACCAGGTTCCTTTGTGTCCGGCCCTGTGCTGGGAATTGCAGGCAATCCAGCCCTGTCAAGACTAGTCATGATGATGCATTTGTAATGAGATGATGCCTTTCTGATGATCTCAAATTAGGAGTGACATTTGTGTTTAAAAACAGGTTGGTGAGTAGCAGATGTCATACTAGTAAGAAAATGGATTTAGATTTTAGTGCCTTTGTCTATGACATGACATAACTCTATACTTATATATAAAATTCATAGAAAAAATATAGCAAACACACCAGACATTGTAGCAAACTGTGTTCAGTCTGCTCTGGTGTCAGGTTTTTGGGGATTTTTTTTAAGTGAGGGGTTTTTTATTTCTATAGCAAACCTATTTTGGAAAATAAAAATCCCTGTTTTTTTGTTCTTCTGCTTTTGAACTCGTTGAGTTTTCTCAAGTCATGAATAGTTAGATAAAGTTAACTATTGTTTAAAAAAAGAAAAAAGAGCACAGGACAAGTATGTCATAATTTTACATGTTTTCATCTATTACAGGAATAGTACTTGAGAGCTGTAAGTACTGTGTAATAATTCCGATACCCTTCCACACGGTAGAAGAAAGAGAACGGATTGGAACTTTTTCCTGCTGTAAAAATAGGATTTAGTAAAAGGTACGTGTGGTGTATTTGCAAGGCCAGTATGTGGTAGGGGCTAGCTCCTTGCTCATGTGCCTGCAGAACCCCCACTGATACCTGCTGTAGCTCAGTGCATGTTCTAGGGGACAACACATGCCATCTATTACAGAAAAGACCTTCCTAATACGCGAGAGTAAACCACAGTAAGCAGAAATTCCAGTTATTTGGAATAATGAATGTTTGTAAATATATAGATATATAAAATTCCATAGAGAAAATCAGTTAAAATTCAGTTGTTTAAAAAAACCATCAGACTAATCGTAAAAAAGGTTTCAGTAGGGTTTCAGAACCAGATATGGCTAAATTCTGCTCATCCCTTATGTGAGGTTAGCTTTGCCACTTAATTTCTATGGAGGTTCTTGTAGAAGGTCTTTGGTATTCCTTCATCCACAGCATCTGATGTCCAAATATTAACATTTTCAGTTGTGATGCCTTAATTTATAAGCAGAGGGCCTGAAATTTCAGGAGCCAAGAGATGCCAGCCAGAAGCTGCAAAAATTAATAGATGTTTATACAGAGGCTATTTTGGATGATACTGTTATCTTGTTTCTACTTGGGGAACACTTTTCAATGGCTTAGTCTTCAAGTGGAAATTGTGAACAAGTGGCTACCTGATAGAGTTGTGTTGCTTTGGGTTTTTTCCTTGCCCTTATAGGGAAACTGAGCACAAACTGAATCATTCTGCTGCAAAAAACAAAAGTCATCCAAGCCCATCTTTACCTGTCATCTCGTCACAGCTCATGCTTCAGCGTGAGCTCCTTGTTAGAAGTTTTTTAAAAAGCTCTATTATATATAGAAATATATATGTATGAAAGGTGCTAATCAACCTCAAGAAGGTCACGTGACTGGTCATGCGGATCTAAAATCATATCAGATTTTTTAAAGCTCTTCGATATATGCAGATGTTATACAGAATTTCTTACCAGTGTAATAATGATATACTGATGAATAAACAATCCTGCAGGTTTTTAAGGACAAGGTCAGCAATACTTCCCACCATGGCTTGGGGGAGAAAAGGATAGTTTTGTCTCCTTTTTGTATACAGCATAATGCACAATGCATTTTTGTCTATCTCTTAGTAGCTGTTGCTTACAAATCTAGTTAAAAGGGTGTTATACAAACTGTAAAGGTGTGCTTTTGAAATGAGTTAATGCCAGACCCTTCTGGACCAGAGTTTTGCATCACTGATTAAAAACTGTTACAGAGCCTGTGGTCAATTAGATTGTATGCTATTTTTTGGGAAGGATTGGAATAATCAGTCTATCTACAGTGTTTCTAGGGCACCTACCTCCTCAGCATGCAAGTGCTGAAAATGCTACGGATTGTTTCTGTGTAATTGTGGGTTTGTTTGTACAAAACGTGCAGTTCACTGTGACATGCACTGGGACAGAATAGGTCTGTTTGCTTAAAGCTGATCAACAATTGCTTCCACCAATGTCAGTCCCTCGTAGTTATGTTTAGTACCCGTTTATGTATTGCTGATTCTAGCTACAGATTTTACAATATTTGTTGTTGTCTTTCATTTGGGTACTTGATCAGAAGTTAAGGTACAACCAAGGAGCTGAATTAATTTTAAGTTGGAATGCTAATTTTTTTACACTACTCAGTTTGCCTTATTCCATTACAGAGATTGTTGGGGTTTTTTTTTTAATTCTTTTGCATAATGTTCCTAAAACCCTGTTCTGTAAACTGAGTTAGACAAGAAAACCATAGACTTGACATTCAACTATTACTTAGTCATGCTCCAAGTGGCCTTCCTTCTGCCTGGCCTGCTGTAGCACTGACTTCTCACCATCTCGACCCCGATGCTGATCACAGCAGGGGAGGGCACACTAGAGCTCTGACCTCAGATACACTATGAAATCAAGGCAGGCAAATCCATTTGCACACCTGGCGTTTGTATACGGACCTCTTTACTTGTCCTCAACTGTGCGGGTTTTTAAAGTTGTTGTCTGGAGTAGGTTACATCTCTTATGTGTGTTAGATCGAACCAAAGAAGCCTCCAGCCATGCCCAAATGCTGCTCCTAAAGCCTGCCTTCCAGTCCTTACTAAAGCCCTGCAGGATTAAATGTGTTAACTTTTTTATTTTTGTACAGTTTCTAACTGATTTTTGCTAGTGATGTTAATGGAATTAAGTTTCTTTGGGGAGGCTGAATAGCTCCTCCATTGAAATAAACTGGTGACTTTCCTTTTATGTTAAAAAAAGAACAAAAAAAGTTAAAAAAAAAAAATAAAAAATAAAAAAGAGAAACCCAAAGTGTGCCTCTCAGATTTAAGGGTTTCTGGTTACATTTATTCTGAAGACCAGCAATGATTCTTTCTATACAAAGATATGTTTTCCTCGTTTTTTATTACTGTTAAAGAAAATAAAAATAAAGAAGAAAAACCTCTTTCTTTGCTCTGGACCCAGTAATTGCGCTGGTACATAAACGCACTGAGAAAACAAACTTTTGTTTGGAACTTTTGTAACAACTTATGACTGTTTTTGTATATCAAAAGTTGATTCTTTTCAAGATATTTGGATCTAGTTTCTAAGTTATTTTAGTGTTTTATATGTTACAAAGAAGAAAAAAAAAATTTACTTTAAATTGTTCACCAGCATCTTGAGTTATCTTTAATGCAATGGTGACACAATGGGCTTAGAGCTACCTGGAGTAGCTTGTAAGGCCTCGTCTTCTCCTTCCTTCCTTAGTAACTTGATTGATTACAATAATATCACAGATTACCTGAACCCCCTTCCTTTATAACTAGATCCTCCTTCCTTCCACATTTAATTGCTATTAGTGTGAAGAAACTGTTGAAATGGGCATTTTAATATTAAGTACAGCTTAAAAAGAGAAAAATGAGGAAAAAGAAAAAAAATTCTAGAAGGTTATCTGTGGGTCTGTGAGATATGGCTGTGGAAAGATATTGTAGTAGTTTTAACACTATTGTTATTACCTTTTAAATCATTTACCCAATAAAATAAGGAAAAAGAATCATCATTTCTTTTTATGTTTCTCTGCTTCATTGTGTGGCTTGGGCAGGTTTTTACTGAAATGTTTGTGTGAGTGTTAAAAACTAATGACATGTTGGGAATTATTTTCCTGTGTCCTACCATTTTGCCTGCTGTAGGGACAGCCTGTAGACTGGTGCATGCAGTTTTCAGTCTAATTCAGAAGTAACTAAACACTCCAAATTAAATCAGGTTTTTAATCAGTTATATCACTGTTTATACCAGTATATTTATCAGTATTTATATCAGTTCAGTTTGGTACTTTTCATGTCTAAGTGTGGGATTTTGTCCAGTTTTGGGCTCCTCATCTTCTGAGAGGGGGAAGTGGTTTCAAGCTTTTGAAGCAAAACTTGGTTGCAGAACCAGTTGTACTGGTGTAACCATACGTGTCCTACACTACTTGTAGCAACATTATTCAACAGAATGTTGAATATTATTCAACACAATAATATGGCAAAATGGGTAACAAAGAATACCTTGAAGTATCACCTAAAATAATTTCAATACACTTTCCTTCTTTTACTCCTACAGTAGTAGGTGTGATTTTAAAGAGTACCTTGGCTTGCTTTGCCATGATTTCTTTACCTTTCATGTCCTATCTAGCTAATGTGCAGGCTGGCACGTGGCCCAAAGTTTATGGAA